CTTAGGAAATAAGTTAGGGATTTGATTTGATATACTTTACATAAGTTAGGAGATTTGATTTCATTGTAATTAGTAATTTCCTTGTATACCTTTCTCTCTATGTGTATAAATAGTGCCTCCTATGGAGAAGAATACACATCAATTTTTCCTCAATTCAATTAACATGGTACCAAGAGCCAATCTCTGATCTTCTAGCAATTTTTGGTTTCTCTATGGTGTTTTCATCTTCTTCGTTTCTCGCTTCCGCCGAAACACTATAAAACCACTGTTGTGCGTGCGTCATTGCTCCGATTCAGATTCTGATCATACCACCAAGATCGTCGTTAAACGATCAACTCATCGGTGAAAATCAGACTGCCATCGGAGACCGCACGCGCCCTCACGCGCCCCGAGAAGGTTCTGCGCACAGTTTCACGCGCCACCGTACCGCCGCCGAAGATTTTTCACGCGCCACGCGCCTCCACGCGCCACTCACGCACCTTCACGCGCTCTCACGCGCCGCCGTACTGTCGCTGAAAATTTTCACGTGCCGATCACGCGCCTCACGCGCCCCGCGTCTGCTCTTTGGCTGCTTTCTGTGATGTCATCGCTGACATCATCCTCCTCTAGCAGTGACGTCACCGGTGCTTTGTCATCGCTGAGTCAGCTCGCCACGTCAGCACCAGTCATCTCGCCACATCAGCATTGGTAATCTGTTGACTTTGATTTTTAGGTCATTTTTACCCGATTTTTCGTGTAGATTTCAGTTTTTACGTCCGTTTTATTAAAAAAAAAAAATGGATAAAAGAGATAATTTTCTCCCTCGACCCATCAATAGTACTCTAGAAGGAACCAAGAATTACTTGTCATGGTCTCAAGCTATGAGAAGTTTTCTTAAAGGTCGAATGCTTTGGCAATATTGTACTGGTGCAATCAACATTCCTGTTCAAGCGAAAGATGAAGCCGACTCTGCCTTTGTTGGTCGTACAATTGAGTGGGACAGCCACAACCATATGATTCTTATATGGCTCAGAAATACATTCATTCCTTCAATTTCCAACTTATTGGGCAGTTATGACGATGCCAAATCCGCATGGGACATGCTAGCGACACGATATTCAACTTCTCATGGATCTATGAAATATCAGTTGGTTGTTGCATTGCACCAACTTCGCCAAGAACCAGGGCAATCCATCAATGATTATTACGATCAGTTCCGCTACATATGGGACCAAATTGATTTGTCTGAACCAACTTGGGCATGCTCTAAAGATGCTCAACTTTGTGTTGCTGTACGAGACGAATTTCGTCTTTATGAATTTTTAATGTCTCTTGACAAAGCATTTGAACCGGTCCGAGGTCAGCTTCTCAATCGTAGTCCGCTCCCTTCTCTTGATATAGCTGTTAATGAGTTGGTACGAGAAGAAACACGTCTTGCAACTCTTCAAGTGCAGACTAAGATCAATGTCCTCGCAGTTGCTCCCCCTATCAACACAGAGCAACCTTCTCATTCCGGATTCGATAGTCGGCGTAGACAGTCCATCAAGAAATTTTGCAACTACTGCAAACGCCCGGGCCACACCATTGATACATGTTATCGTCGAAACAACTCCACCGTTGTTGTTACTGAGTCCACTCCGCCAATGACTTCCACCTCAGCTGTGTCTCAGTCTTCTGGATCCACTATACATCTTACATCACCTGAACTACAAGATATAATAGCTCAGGCTATTCGTATGGCTGGTAATGCATCTCTTTCCACTGCTCTCTCAGTCCTGCCTGGTAAGTCTCAAACTTGGCTTTTCGATTCCGCATGTTGCAACCATATGACCCCTCATTCATCATTGTTTTCTAAACTTGAACCTGCTCAACACCCTTTAAATATTCACATAGCAGACGGTTCCACTTTACATGGTAAAAACTTAGGGCCTGTTTCAACTCCCAATATTCTTGTTCCCGACGTTTTTCACATTCCTGATCTATCTTATAATCTATTTTCTGTGGGACAATTAGCTGAACTAGGCTACCGTCTTACTTTTGATTACTCTGGATGTATTGTTCAGGATCCGAGGACGGGACAGGAGCTTGGGACCGGGCCTAGAATTGGGCGTATGTTTCCCGTGGATAACCTTCGTCTTCCACCTGTTGCTCCCATCTCTGTTGCTGCTGCTGTTATATCTACATCTTCTTCACCTTCTCTTGTTCTATGGCACTCTCGCCTTGGTCATGCTCCTACATCTCGTCTTCAGCACTTAGCTTCTAAAGGTCTGTTAGGTTCTGTGTCTAAAGAACATTTTGATTGCACCTCGTGTCAGTTAGGAAAACAACCAGCCTTACCATTTAGTACTAGTTCATCAGTTTCTAATAAAATTTTTGACTTAATTCATTCTGATGTTTGGGGTCCCTCCCCCGTTACTAGTATTGGTGGCTCGAGATATTTTGTTGTCTTCATTGATGATTATTCTCGTTATAGTTGGATCTTTCTTATGAAATCTCGCTCAGAACTATTGTCCATATATAGTAATTTTGCAAAAATGGTTGAAACTCATTTTTCACAGCGCATCAAAACTTTTCGATCTGATAATGCTCTTGAATATACTCAAAATGCCTTTCAAAATATCCTTCATTCATATGGCACTGTTCACCACCTTAGTTGTCCAGGGACCTCTCAGCAAAATGGTCGAGCCGAGCGAAAACTTCGTCACATTCTTGACACTGTTCGTGCTCTCCTTCTCTCTGCGAAAATTCTCTCCCCATTCTGGGGTGAAGCTGCCTTGACTGCAGTTTATGCTATCAATCGTTTACCAAGTCCTGTTATCCAAAATGAAACTCCATACGAGCGCCTCTTTATGAAATCTCCAAACTATCATCAACTCCGTTCTTTTGGTACTTGTTTTGTCCTTCTTCAACCACACGAACACAACAAACTCGAGCCTCGGTCTCGCCTTTGTTGTTTTCTTGGTTATGGAGAAACTCAAAAGGGCTATCGGTGTTATGATCCTATCTCTCATCGTCTTCGTGTCTCTCGTCATGTTGTCTTTTGGGAACATCGTCTTTTTGTTGAACTTTCACATTTTCGTCCTTCTTTGAGTACCTCATCCGAGTTAGATATATTTTCGAATAATTCTCCTTATCCTATCGACTTGTTTGAAAATACTCCTATTCCTCGCTCCAGCACAACCCCAAATGAACAAGTGGAGAATGAACAGGTAGAACACGCACTGCCCAGCTCTGAACATGAGTCCCTTGCTCCTGCTCCGCCTGAGGATCTTACAGACCATGC